GTGTAGTTTTCCTTGGAGCCTACTTGACACATACTACAATTGAAACAGGCACAATTCAATACTGCCTCCCTAGGAAAGGAGAGGGCAAACTGAGTGTTTTGTGGACTTTTCTGAGGAAGAATCACCCTTGCAGAACAGGTAAAAGCTTTATGTGTCTATAAATATGGTGTGAAACAGCAGGCTAATAGAAATTAGCCTGTGTAGAACCCACTGCAGGGATACATTTTTCCAGGCATTGATTATTCTTCAAATAATGCCTTTACAATTAGCAAGAGGTTCCATGCTTTATCTTGTCAAATAAAGTGTTTTAGCTAGCAGACAAGGAGATTTAGGAGGAATTTGTAATTGTTTTTATTATTTTATAAAAGACCAACACAAGGTTTTTTCTGTCAGACATATTCTCAGGAGGAAATGCATAGTACACAGAAAACATTTATGAGCATTTCTTACATTGTAACTGTATCTATGTGAAAGCCAAAATAAATACCAACTGTTCCAGCTATACAATATACAATGCCTGATGTGTTTATTGCCACATTTTCTATGACCAGTCTCCTTTCTGTTGTGTTTCTTCAGTGACTGTGTTATTCCAGGGAAATGAGTAACACAAGGGGAGGAGAGTGCATAATGATTACTACGCTGCAGGGGGTTGTCTGAACTAACACATGGATCGTGCTCTGCATCTCATGAATCTCTGTTGGAATTTGTGTTCAAGGTGTATTATGCAGCAAACATAGAGGGTGAGCTACTCAGGTTTCTTTGAAAGACAAGTCAGTGTGTGTCACAGGCACTTCACACTTTTCAGTTCATAGCTTTGAGGGACAAAGAAGAGCTGAAGGCAACAGTTTGTCTCCTAAGGAAGACCAAAGCCATAATGACTATTTTTATCAGTACTATTTAGCAAGTACTGTTAGCTAGGTGTCATTCTTTTCCTCCCTCTTCAGTGAATGGATGAAGTATGGAAACACCTGGAGAGATGAGGAGATCTGTGATTCTGTTCTGCTGAAACCTCAAACTTTTCCTTTTTGCCAGATGAATAAGTAGAGCACATTTTAAACAGCACCATAGTATTCTCAGGCCATGTTGTATGATTATTGATACAAGATTTGTGTATGTCATGGAATAAAAAAACAAAGAGCAAAGGAACTCAAAATACCCACTAGTCACCTAAATGTTTGTGCTGAAGAGGTATATATGAAGATTGTCAATTTGAAATTTTATGTGTGAATCTTGTAGATTATTGGTAATGTGATCTATAATGGGAAACAATTTTAAAAGAGAAGATATTAGCTGGAAAAGGGAAAATGCTCTGCTGAGGAGGGTCAGTTTGGGGGTCAGTATATTCTGTCATTTTTTTCCCTCCATGGGCTCAGTTAATGAGCAGAATGTTTTACATAATAGAATTCTGGATTCCCTTCACAGTTGTTGATATTCCACTTGTGTGCTCTCAGATGATGTCAATGATGACAGCTGGTAATTTCTTCAACATACAGATTTTGATTATGTCTTGTTTTATCGTTAGTATCTAGTGTTCACAAGGAATGTTTTCCCACCCAGAAGACAACAAATGTTGGACTGACCTAGTAATTGTTATTTCCTATACTTCCTTTGGGCTCTTGTTCAGCTAGTTGGATCTGAGTTGTTTTAAACATAATTAGGCCATCATAAATCACTCTGGGTTAGTTCACGTGACATCGCCAAGGAGACCCAATGGGACAATTAGAATATGCTTTTGAACAGTCTATCTGTAACTATGTTAACTACTTTATCATGAAAATAAAGTTTGTAAACAGTAGTCTTTACACTGTGACAAGTGAAAATATATTGCACCCTGAGCTAGCTGTTCAGCAAATTAGATTTTTGTAGTGCTAATTGAATTTGTCACAAAGCTGAGGAACATTAGCTAAAGAAAGAGCAATATGTTTTATTTTATTGAGCACATCTCAGAGTGCTTATAATTTAGTAGGGCCACCACACTTTCTGGGCAGGCTATCAAGTAGGATGTTGTAATGATTTGCATGACTACCATAGTAGATGGAAAAATGTAGCTTGTGTTTGTAGCTGTTCCATTAGTGTCTTGCACAGTGTGTGCTCCTTTGGTGCTCTTCAGAGAGCTGTGTCATAATCCCACCATCTTTTGAAGAGTTCTGTCTGGTGAAACCAAGTAACTACACACCGTTTAAAGCCTAGTGAATAATTAAATGATGAGACAAAGGAAAGACTGAGAAAGGCAGATAACCAATAGAATCCTGAAGTTATCAAAACAGAGCACTTGCCAAGGGCCTTGGAATTCATCTGATTCAGTTTTTGGATAAATGCCTGAATTAAAAATTATCCTATGAGGACCTAGAATATAGAGACAAATTCTGGCACTGTACATTTTTCTCCCAAAATGGACATTAATGCTGCAAAAACAGAATAGGGTGAACAACCCCTGGCCTCATGCTTGGCCCCCTACTGTAGGCTCTATCTGCCAAAAAAAGATGGAATAGAAGATCAAAAACTAAGGTGGGGGAGGGGGG